TTCTCCATGTGCTCTTTTGCCAGGCCAGGCCTGTATCCACCATGTTGCCATGCCACGGACAACTTCATCGTCATAACCATAGAGTGGAGACAAGAACAACATCCACAGAGGAGGAGCAGATCATCACTGAATTCGATCAGCCCAACAGAAAAGCCGCAGAACATCACCTGGTCTACACTCTCCTACATGATAGAACCCTCTAACACCCATGAATAATACAGAAAAAAACTGAAACACCTGACACACACTTCCTACAATCAGAGGTGCTCACGCACTCGCCTAAACCATGCTGAAACAGACAGAACCCCACACACTGTTCGTCTGCCAATTTGCATGCCTTTCTAGCCTAGCTACTACATCCACTAAGGACGAAATTCCGATTGAATACATCTACATACTCGTGCAAAGAGAGGAGGAGGTCTGCATTCCTCTGCATCCCCCGTCACCCTAACTCCATTCTCGTTCCCACATGAAGCGGTCTCCAATCCATCCCATCTTTCCAGTCACCCAGGTATAAGGGAGTGGCAGCGAGCAGGTGGTTGACGCGATTACCATTACAGAACAACAAAGTCAGTCACAAAGTACGTAAAACCTACCGCCCATCACATTATTGTCTTCCCTCCGACTCGAATTTTAGCACATGACCCTCAAATAATTTCAGAACAACACTAACCGCACTTCCCAGATTCGCCCTAAAGTTGAGCCCAAACCAAAAAAAGTTAAAAAAACAAAACAAAACAAAAGACACACAAACAAATTTCCCCCCTTGCCAGAATTGCGACCACCTACACGTTACTACTGGAAACCCAAGGCTCTTCCACAACTACAAAAATAGAAAAGGAAAACAAAACCCTGAACCGTCAAGCTGGATAAAAGTGCCACTGACAGTTCATTCCTTTCCTCTCTCTCTCTCTCTCTCTCTCTCTCTCTCTCTTCCTCTCTCTCTCTCTCTCGTCGCCCTTCTCACCCTCGCTTCGCACTTTCCCCCGTCCCTGCCCACACACTGCAGTCGCAACCACTCCTGCCTACCCCCTGTGCAACATGCACACGTTTCTGTGCGCACGCATTTGCACATAGACAATTACACACACACACACACACACTTCCACACACTTCCCCACACACTCTTACACACACACACACACACACACATACACATACACACAGAGGCACACATCCATACACAGCCACAGATCGAGCAAAGAACAGAAAAGAGCAATGACAGCGGCGTCATAGTAATCAATCCACACCTCTCAGACAACTTCGAGCTCGCCTCCAGCTGTCATTACGCCCATCAGTTGTTATGCAGCGCCTCGTGCAATGGCTTCCTTCCCTCGGTGTGCTTCCATGATCACTGCTCTCATCACTGCGAAAGAGGGCATGCATCTACCCTCATCCCAAGGACACCAAATAACAAAGACAGACTGTAGTCGCGAGGGTATACTGATGGACCTATGGCACAAAGCCCAGGCATGACGACTCCATTCTTCGGCCCTGGGCCAAAGAACCTCTGGACCTGTAACAGCTTGCGACTTTCCATCCCATCCAATCTCACCACAGATCATCAGATTGGTTGCAGAGCAATTGCTTGGCCATAAATCCACTACTGACTGTTGACAGGTCGACGAAGACAGCGAAGCTGTGTGCTCTCTCGACAACAGCAGCAACAGCAGCAGATCTGCTGGCAAAGCATGTTGCTGCACCGTCTGCATGCAACCTGACAGTTCGAAGTCATGACCGTCAAACTCACCAAGACATTTTCGGTGCAAGCATTTGCGATGCTGTCATCCGAAAATATCACCCCTCCCGCCACAGTACATCTTTCTTGCCAGCAGAGCTCTGCATACTATTGGAATGTTTTCCTAATATAGACTGAAAGTGTGGGATTGAGATACACTGGCATCCTCCCCCTTGCAATGTGACTCGAACCAAGCCAAGCGGAATGAAAGGCATCCCACCTAAACCATTGCAGCAAATTGCAGTATGTTTGACTACTACTACAGCTCCACTGCCACACCATGCAGGCAATTGACAGGTATGCGAGTACCCATGAGAGAGAGATCGGCTCCCGCCTAACCAAACCTGGATGCTGAAAGAACACGCAACTGTGCAGAACGAAGGTGATCTGAAGCAAAGCATCCACACAAAGCGAACTATGCCCAGCTACAAGGGCTCCACTTCCATAATGTGCAGCATACATTGTCGAGAACACCATATCTTGACCTCTCCTTGCCAAGCTCTCCTTCCCTCCATGAGAGCATGCATTCATGTATATATATATATATATACTTACAGATTACCATCGATGACGTTTACGGGAACCACAGTCAACTCCCTGACAGGCGGGAGGGAATAAGAAAAAGGAGAGAACAAATTAATTAGGATATCCTCAAGAACCTGTTATCATTGGACTCACAGTACCACCTCGTTCAGAGCCCGTGAGTCTCTCTCGTTCGGGACTCTCTTCTCGGTTCCACTGATGCCATTGGTCAGGAACAACAACAAAGTAGTCTGACATTGCTTTCTTAAAACGAGCTTTATAATCTGCAGGAGAGATAACTGTCGGCTCAACATTTTTCCGTCCACCCAGAATGCCGGAGCCCTTAACCCACGTCTCCAGATGCTTGTCCCATGTGTACTGCCGAATGAAGTCGATAATGCCACAAACAAGCTCCCCCTTATCCTCATCCATGCCAACCAAGAGAGAGTAATCCATCACATGCACATTCTGCATTGCACCAAAGAACAAACATCAGAGGCATACCAGCATCAGTGTGGGCACACACGCGCACACCCACACCCACACCCACCCAC